AATAATAATAATAAAAATTTAAAAAAAAAGAAATAATTGCATACAATGAACGACATATGCTTAAAATGTACACTTTCAATAATTCAGTTTTTTTGAGAGAGGTTCTCACTGTATATCTCAGACGGGCCTCAAAGTCACGGTAATTCCAGTGCAGGGAACACAGTCCTGTGCCACCATATCTGGCTCTTATTTTTTTTTTTTTTTTTACTTAAAAGGAACTAAAAAATAAAAAAAAATTGAAAAAAAAAAAGTAAAAGGAACTAGAAGGGGCCGGGGAGATGGCTCAGTAGAACGAGCGCTTGCCTGGCAAGCTCAAGGGCCTGAGTTCAATCCCCCATTCCGCCAATTTAAAAAAAAAAAAAAAGAGAACTAGAACGACCCTCAACAGGGACAACACAAGGGGCACTTTAGCCTGAGCATACAGATGCTTCTGTTCTCAGATGAGGTCTTAGTATGTGGCCTGAGCTGCTACCAACTAGCAGGCTCAAGTGATCCTCCTGCCTCAGCCTCTGGAGCAACTGTGCCTAGACATGTGTGCCACCACATGTGGCTCAATGTTTCTTCATGTGTGTGTGGCCAGCTCAGCTCACCCTCGGGGAGGGGCTGGCACGGCATGTGCTGCTGGGAATCAGACACTGGTCCCTGTGCACTTGCCTAAGCAGGCGCTTTAGACCACTGAGCTACATCGCCGGCCCTCGAGGTATTTTTAATTCTTTAATGCACTTTCAGCCTGAAGAGCTACATAATCGAGAGCACTTGCTCTCATAGTGTCTGTACACAGGGCATCATGTCCATATCTTGTGCGGCAATTAACCACTGGGAGGAATGTATGCAAGGTGTTAACTGTTGAAGCTGTCCTACCAATTTGGTTTGAGACTGTCTCACTGCTATTTGTCTCTCAATAAAATTATGGGGGAAAAAAAAAGATCTACATAATCGAGGCCGGGGAGATGGCTCAGTAGAATAAATGCTTCCCTGGCAAGCTTAAGGGCCTCAGTTCAATCCCCGGTTCCGCCAAAAGAAAAAAAAAACAACAAAAAAACACTACATAGTCAACTACAATTTAATTATAAAGCAGAAAAGGCTCATAGCTGCCAAGAAATCATCGGGAGGATGCCCCGAGGCTACTCACCATGTAGTAGCCAGTGTGATAGCCACTCATGTACCATGACATGAGCATGCTGCCTAGAGCGTCCGCGTCATCGAAGGAGTCTGGACAGATGGGAGGAGGTGGGGGGATCATCTGCAAATGGAAAGCGTATACATGTATCCTCTGGGTTTGGTTTGGTTTGGTTTGGTTTTGTGGGGACAGGGTCTCACTGTAGTTCAGGCTAGCCTTGAGTTCATGGTGATCCTCCTGCCTCAGCCTCCTGAGTGCTGGGATTATAGGCTTACACCACCACATGTAACAAAAAGGGTCTATTTTAAATCCAGCAAATAAAAATGCAAAGTCTGGTTATTCACTTTACATAGAGACTGATGGTATTAATTGTATTTTCTCCTCTGTGCCATGACATCTCTTATTTCAATAAATAAAAACCAGTGAACAGTGAGTAGTCAACCTTTCACCTCTGTGTGGGCCACACTGAGTAAAGAGACACATGCAAGCCCAGCCATGGGAGTCTGAGGCAGGAAGACCACTACACAGTGAGTTCAAGGCCAGCCTGAGCTGCATAAGCAAGATCCTGTCCCCCCCCCCAAGCCAAAATCCAAATATAAAACAGTGACATTTAAACTTTCATTTATTATGGGGGCCTTCACATTAGATCAGGTGTTTAAGTGCCTGCTGAAACAAAGCAGTCAGGCTCAGGATGCTGTGGTTCGATTCCCTCATCCTCAAGCCAAACCAGACCTGCCCTGAAGGCATCCTGAGTGGTCAAAAAAGAAAAAAAAAAATCCTTGAATTTTCATTCATTAGAGTCTGAAGCTGGGCACTGTCTCTGCTAAATTCCAAACTCTATACAAAAGCAGTTTCCTCCGAATTCTTCTGTACTTACTGGCGGTCCAGCCGGAAGTGGAGGTAGCCAGCATGATAGGAAGTGTGGCGGTGGTGGTGGTGGTGGAGGTGGGCCACTGAACTTCAGACCTGGCTATAAAGAACATTTCAAAGGAAAATTTACTGATTTTGATATAAGAAAAGGGATCCGGGGCTGGAGAGATGGCTCAGTGGTCTAAAGCACCTATTTGGAACAAGCCTGGAAAAGCACAGGGACCGTGGTTCGATCCCCCCAGCACCACATGCCAGCCAGTCGCGCCCCCTGGTGGGCTGAGCTGGCCACACACACACTAAATAAATGTTAAAAAAATAAATA